TTTTTGAGACTGGGTCTTGCTATACAGTTTAGGCTGACCTCAACCTTATGGTGATCCTCTCGCCTCAACCTGAGTGCTAGGATTACATAATTTCTTAGGTACTCTTTAAACTGGGTCTGTGACATTTAGTTCTTTAGTGTTACTGATGTATGACTACCGGACTAGAAAACGGTAATTTCATATTATATCTATGCACTAACACTCAATGTCGTCCCCCAATCTGGAGTTTTCAGATTTAAAATGGATCCTAAAAGATCATCTTAAGAGTTTTCTTTTTTTTTGGCCTTGGCCAGCTCAGCCCACCCTGAGGAAGGAACTGGCATGGCATGTGGTGCCGGGGATCAAACCGCAGTCCTCTGTGCCTGCCTAAGCAGGTGCTTTAGAACACTGAGCTATCTCACCAGCCCAAGTTTTGGTTTTTTGAATCTTTAATCTTTATAGGATCTTACATGTAAATAATCCCTTAAAAAAAGACTAACTTCTCATTTCACATTGTAAATTTAAGAGGAAAATTAATTACTGACGTTTAAAATTCAAGGCAAACACATCTTTGTCTACTATAACAGAATGCATTTTCAAATGATGCTCAATACTGTACCGGCAGGTGAACAAAGGGATGGTAAATCAGAGAGAATGGTGACTGTGGCTGCCACCAAACGAGCACTTTCTTCTGAGAGCTGAGTTTTCGTGGAGAGGTGAGTTGGCGAATCTGACATCTTGGTACTCAGTTGTGGCATATGGCGCACTAAAATGAACATCAGTAGCTCCATAGTTGCAAACACAAGAGATTTTCCAGGAATGAGGCCACCGCTGTCACCACCTTCTCCTAATACAACACAAGATTCTTTCTCCATATCATCTTCATCTTAGGTAAAAGATAATGGGGAGGAATTTCCAACAAAAATGGAAAAATAAGTATAAAATAACAGTAAATACATTTAAGAAATTCTTACAAATAAATATCTAAGTAATGCTACATGTCATTTTCAGTGTAATTCTCTGGCTTATTGAAATTCTGTATACTGTACCTGATTGACCTTTCTTCCCCTTCAAAGCAATAAACAGCTTTTTTTTTCCTTAGAAAATTTTAGTAGATATTTTATTAGGTACGTATTTCATAATAGGAACAACATATGCTAGCTAGGTTGAACCATATAAAACTGATATTTTGTTTTGCTTTGTTTTTTTGAGACAGGGTCTCACTGTGTAGTTTAGGCTGGCCTAAACTCATAGCACACCCCCTGCCTCAGCCTTCCAAGTGGTGGGATTATAGGTGTGCACCATCACAATGAAACTGGTACTTTTGAGTTAGAATAACATAGTCAAGTATCAGCAATTTTATTTGGTCCTATTTCATGAAAGCAAAATCAACTTCCTATCTTCTAAATGTATGGGTTTTTTTTTTTTTTTTTTTTATAATTCCGTACAAAAAAAAAAAAAAAAAAAAAAAGGAAATTTCCTAGCATTAGAAAAGTATTCTAAAAATGAAGAGTGTAAGTAAGTTTTACTTCAAGTTAGTGTAATTTGCAGTGCTTACTTAGAACGCTTCTCTTGTCTTGAAGGTAATCCTGAGCAGCTCTTACTATCTGTTGGACAACTCCAGTAACCAATAGCTGGATAGATGATAGGTTCCAGGTCAACAGGAGGCGGTGCAAGACACTCAGCAACTCAACACCAATCAGCTGTCAAATATTAATACAAGCACAATTTATTTTCAAAGGAAAATGTGTATTACTATAATCTGATAAAGAATACATGTCAAAATCAGAAACATAATGAAAGCTAGTATAAGACTATAATTTTTTTTGGTGGAATTGGGGAGAGACTATAATTAATGACCTCAGCATTTAATATTTAATTAACTTTAATATTCAAGGATAGTCATTCTCCTACTGGAAAGAAATACTGTAGCCAGAGTTTCATGCCACTGAAATTCATGATTTCCAACTTGACCTGAGTACCTGAGAGGTACCCAACAGAAATAATAGGAATTTCTGGTGAATCCCTCTTCTACTCATCTCAGCAACTATTTCCAACTTTCACTTTTTTTTTTTTTTTGGTGGAACTGGGAATTGAACTCAGGCCCTTGTACTCGCCAAGCAAGTGCTTATTCTACTGAACCATCTCTCCGGCCCCTCAACTTTTACTTTAAGCCTTTTATAATCTCTTCCACATCTAACCCATTCACTGAACATGCCTCAAATTTCAAAGAAGAGAAAACATACCTGCAAAAGAACCAGTTTTACCTCTTCACTTAACATCAAGCATCCAGCCTCTTATCCAAGAATGGTTCATCTTTCCTCATGAACTATACCATCTTAACTGACTTTGCAGGAATTATTCAAAGACTTCAAAAGGTACCTGTTGTCTCTAATCTCTCTCTAGTTAAACTATTCTTCTCAGTACAAAGATGCTGTTCAAAATATTTCTTACCTAATGCCCTATCCTCCCAAAAAGCCTCTCAAATCTTTATACCCTGATCTCTTTATCAGTTCTGCTCCTTCCTTTCCCAGCTTAGATGCTTCTAATTCCTTTCCTTTCTCCCTGTTATATAATCTGGCTTCTACCCATCCAAGAAAGTCTTCTGCAGATGGTCTTTTATTTCCTTATTTATTGCTACCCCCCAAGCCCCTGACACAGTTATCTACCTTTTTTGAAAGGTCTCTTGGAGGAGCCAGGGAGATGGCTCAGTAGAATAAGCACTTGCCTGGCAGGCGCAAGGGCCTGAGTTCAATTCCTGGTTCTGAAAAAAAAAAAAAAAAAAAAAAGTCTCTTGGCTTTGATAACTTTGTTCTCTTCTGGTTCTTCTTCTACTGCTGTTGTTTTGATTTTCTTTTTTAGTACCAGGAATTGATCTTGAGGCCTTGTGCTTGCCAGAAAGGTGTTGAGCTGCTAAGCTTTATCTCCTGCCCCTTCTACTTCTCTAGTAGTTTCCACTGCTGATTTAGTTCCCTATTTTTTCTTTTCTTTTTTTTTTTTTTTTTTTTTCCTGTCTTCCTGAAACAGAGTTTCTCTATGGAGCTCAGGTAGGCCTACAAATTACTTTGTAGCCCAGGCTGGCCTCAAACTGGCAGCAATCCTCCTGCCTCAGCTTCCTAAGTGCTAAGATCACGGATGTGTGCCACTATGCCTGGCCTATTTCCTTCTTCTAAATCCTTAAATGCTATTTATCCTTAAAGTTCCAAACTTGGCCTTCTTTTCTTCTTCATTTATTTATTTTCAATATTTTTTTAATTTTTTTATTTTAGAGAAGGGTCTACAGGGTGTTCAGAATCTCACTACTAGATCAGACTTGTAGTGATCCGCCTGTTTACAGCCTCCCAAGAGCTGGGATTATAGGCGCACACTATTTTCAATATTCTTATGAGTACATGCTGGCAGTGCATAATGATTATATTCCTCACAGGGAATTGGTGGATATATATAACACATCTTAATTCTTTTTTTTTCTCCTTCCCTTTCCCCTTTCTTTATCTCTTGGTCCCCTTCTCTTATGCAGAAGATCTCCTTCCTATCATATATCTTTTCCTTCCTTTATTGAATTTTCCCAGGCTAGTGTATTCAATGTTTCTCTAGAATTATGTAAAGAACCTAATTGGCTTTCCTGTCTCCCTCCTCATCTCTCAGAAGCCAATGTCTATAAGCTTAATAGTGTGATCCTTCTAACACATAGAATAAATAATGTCACTTCTCTACTTGTTTTTACTTATTTTCTATCTTTTTCAGAATACAGTTCTAATTCCTTCATGTGCTATAAAGAAATCTTTATGATTTGATCTTTACCCTATCGTATAGCCTCACCTAAAAATCTATGTCGTATTCACATTAGTCTCAGTAAACAGCAGTAGTGCACTTCAATATGTCCTGTTCTCTCCTGCCTCCTAGTTTTTCTTTTTCTTTCTTTCTTTTTTTTTTTTAGGTGGAACCGGGGATTGAACTCAGGCCCTTGCACTTGCCAGACAAGAGCTTATTCTACTGAACCATCTCCCCAGCCCCAAGAGATGATTATTATGAAAAACTTTAAAAAAATTCCTAATTAGCTGGATGTAGTGGCACACACGTAATTGCAACACTTGGGAGACTGAGCAAGAAGATCGAGGCCAGCTTAGAGGCCAGCCTGGGCTCCAGGGTGAGTTTTAGTCCAGTCTGAACTACACAGCCAGATCCTGTCTCAAAAAACAAAACACCATGCACAACTGGATGCTGAGGAGTCAGTGACACTGATACCAGAAGTGATGGCGTGGAGAAGAAATGAGAAATACAAACTTCCTGTTCCACTTCCAGAAGGCAAGGTTTTGAATGATACTGAATGGAAATGATGATTACTGGGCAAGATGATTGGCTCTGGAGGATTTGGACTGATATGTTTAGCTTTCTCCACAAATAAGACAAAGATACAAGACATGTAATAAAGAGGAATATCAAGGAAATTACTCCTTATTTTCAATTTTATCAGATAGCTACAAAAAAAAAAGACTGTTAAAAGTGGAGAGAACTCAAACAACTTTATTATTTAGGAATTTCTGTTTTATGGATCTGCTATTACTGAATTCAAGGGAAGGAAGAAGTCACAAGGTTTATCATAATAGAGATTAGTAATAGATTTTCAGACCAGAATGGGATTTTATAAAAGTCAACTCTCCTGCAATTACGTCTCTGAATTCTGCATGTACTAGAATATATACATGAAAATGAATGCATTCATGCTGATATAAAAGCAGTAAATCTACTTTTGGTTTGCAAACTTCCAGATTGGGTTCATCTTGCAGATTATTGCTTTCCTACAGATACTGTCCCAGTGGGAACCATACATACTATCAGGAAAACCCTAGAAAAAGCCATAATGGGTAAATGGAGTTTACTAGCTTCCTCACTACCATGTTCTGAGGTGGTTACATGGGAAGTTTCCTTGGGAACAGAACCTGAAGGACCCTATGGCTGTTTAGACTGATAACATAAATCTGCTAGATGAGCTTGCTGAGTCAGTGTTTAAGTGGTCCCTGTCTGAAAACAGTTGCTGTGAAATAGCCCAGTTTTTCTCATGTGTTCATAGTTGATCTTATAACAAAAAGCCAAATTATCAATGAAAATATGCATACGCCAACCAATCAAGAAATGCTGCAGCAAGACAAGTTGATCAGATACAAATTAAGAAAAAGGCAACACGGAGAGAAAAGCTGAGTCCTTTGCAACAGAGAAAAGTGCAAAGAGGACAAGCCCATGGGATCGATGAACAATGAAGTAACTCAGGAAAGCACAAGACAAAAATATCATGAGTCTTCAGAACTTCTGAATGAAGTAAACAGTTTCCCATGAAAATTTTAGCAATTCATACTTACAAAAATCATTTTATGAACCCTGTCAAGATTTTCTCATATAAAATCAATAAATCTGGAGCCAGAGAGATGGCTCAGTAGAATAAGCGCTTCCCTGGCAAGTGCAAGGGCCTGAGTTCAATCCCCAGTTCCGCCAAAAAAAAAAAAAAATCAACAAATCATAATCTTCACCTTAGTTATGTGCACTTTCACAATCTGTATGGAAGTCACAGGCTTACAAAGTTCTGCAGGATTTTGTTCTATCATTTCTCAGTTTACTCTTAGTGAAGAGACAAAGGCAGAAGTATATTATTATAGCTTCCTCATATTTTTGCTTTTGGTACTGATATGTCTTGCTTTATACTTGAAAATACAAAACAGAATTATTCTGATAATTCTTAAAAACCAAACAAAATCATAATTAGAAAGAATAAGAAATCCAAGGGTAACTTGGTCCTGTAACAAATAATTCTTAAGTTTTGGGGACTTCTAAAATTTTTTAAAAATAAATGTAGTTTTATTTGATTGCTGATGAACAAATCAAAGACATACTATTTGTAAGTTAGCTCTAGTTCCTCATGCAAAATTCAATACAGTCAAAATCCTGAACCCTAACATCATTATAATTACTGTATAATATTGTTGCTAATTAATATAACATTTACACTATCAGAAAATTATTCAAACATAAATATGATTAAAACAAAGCATAAAGTTAATTACACATTCTAGAAATATCCTGTACCTGGTCTTCTGCAATATGGCTTCGTGCATAAGGAGAGTCTAGCAAGGTATGTAAGGCCTGGAGGCACGCTGTAACATGTTCAATGGGCTCCTCAGGTCTAGGGGAACAGAGAAACTGTATACTCACACCTGAAATGCACAAAATAAATACATGGGTTCTAAATTTCAAACACATTGCTTTGACACCATATTTTCTCCATTTTTTCTTTTATACATTACTTGAATACATACATAATGCCTTAAAGTATAGTTCAAAAGGGTTTCTAAGCCAAACAGCCACATTCAACATATAGTTCTGGTTTTGCAACTAGGCTAATATTAAGCTAGGTATACACAAGAAAAGGAAAGTCCATACTATGAAGTTGATTATGAAGATAATTCACCTGACACTGACAAAGGTTCTACAATCTGAGGTACAGGATCTCAGCATAAATCCTGAGGGGATTTCACTGAACTTATCAGACCCAAAAGCTACAACTCTTCTTGCATAGGTCCTGCTTTACCTTGGTCTTAACCATCCAGCAGAAAAGTATAAAAACGAAATATAAGAAGTAAAGCCATGCTGTTATGTTG